GAGTTAAGGGAAAAGTCTGATAAGACTCACAATATGAACTCTCTCTACCCCTGCTTTCTCACCGCCGTCTCCTGCGCACGCTCCCCAGCTACCCCGCAGCAGCGTCTGTCATCACCATGGTTACGGCTTCAGCCCAGACCCCAGCAGAAACTCCGCTGGGAAATGTAGCTTCTGTGAACGCTACCATGTTACTGAACCCCTGTAACTAAACCCCTGGTCAGAGCCCGACTCTACCCACTGGCAATATTTGAAAAATGCAGGAAAAGTGGGTAGACCCCAGCGGAGATAGAGGGGCGTGCACCTGAGACCTGCTTGTCAGACTCTCTAAAATGGAGAGTGGAGAATTCAACTGCAGTAGCCACCATTCAACCTGAAGAGGGCAGCACTCAGACGTTTTAAATGTCAAAAAAGTTACTCGAATCAATAAACAGCACTAATAACTAAAAAAAATTGGTTTAGGGTTTAGTTACCCTTTAATCAGTAAAATAGTTTCACTTCTGAAAAGCTACTGATGTAGAAAATAGTAAACTAGTAACGGCGTTGTTTTGAATGCCGCTACTGCCTCTAACCAATAAGCATATAAAAATAAACTTACTTTGATGTGCTGCAACAGATCCTCAGCTCTTCCATGTCCCAGAAATTGTGTCATGAGTCCAATTTTTTGAACCAGCGCAGAGGTAATGCACTTTTGTGGCTGTTATAAGGGAAATGTGGAGTGGAGTGCTTTTCACTTTCTGGGGACTCTGAAGGCACATCACAGGACCGTGCACCAGTCTGGCTAACGCTAAGCTACGTAAGTCGTTAGCCGGTACTTTTCCCCTCCTCCTAACCCCTAACCCTAACAAAATAATCAAATCTCTCTGGATTGTCTGGGAGATTCTTCCATACATCAGCATGTTTAACTTGTTTTCCATCATCAGTCAGGATGAGAGCAGGATGTGCTGTATCAGGATCGAGGGTCACATCCACTGCATACTGCTGGACCCTCTTGGGCTGGGCGTCAACAGCTTCTTCATCTGTTCACTGAGCGTCTCCTCCAGCTGATTCACAGCTCTCCTCACAGTCCCCTCATATGAAGGTGGACGGACGCTGACTTCTGTCCAGTCCTTGGTGGGTGGAGCAGCGTTCAGGGACGGGAGGCTTTGGAGGAGGTGGAGGTGGTCTTCAGAGCGTGAGAGCTGCTCCACCTCAGAGCTTCTCTTCTTCAGCTCAGAGATTTCCTGTTCCAGCTCTTTGATGAAGCCTTCAGCCTGTTTCTCTGTCTCTCTCTGCTTCTCTTTGATCGTGTCGATGAGCTCGGCCTGGCTTCTCTCAACAGACTCCTTCAGAGCGCTGAAGACCTGAACACCACCTGCTATCTCTCTGTCTGCATCTTCCTTACTGAGCTCCACTGAGCGTTTGATCTCCTCAATCTTCAGTCGTCTCTTCTGGATCATCTGCTGAGTTTCAGCCTCTGTCTTCCCCAGCTCGGCCTTCTTTCCTTCATATTCTTCTTTCAGAGGAACAACTTCATGTGTCTTGTGGTCTGAAACAGAGCAGAGCATGCAGACACACATCTGGTCGGTCTTACAGAACAGCTCCAGCAGTTTATCGTGCTTCGTACACATCCTGCCTTCCAGGTTCTCCACAGGGTCGATCAGCTGATGTCTTTTCAGGCCTGCCATTGTCAGATGAGGCTCCAGGTGAGTCTCACAGTAGGAACCCAGACACACCAGGCAGGACTTCAGGGCCTTCAGTTTGGTTCCAGTGCAGACGTCACAGGGAACTTCTCCTGGTTTGGCAGCTTGTTGCTCTGAGCTGCTGCTGCTGGCTTTCTGTTGAGCTGACTGTCTGAACTGAGCAGCCATCTCAGAGATGAAAGTGTTGACCTGCAGCTCAGGTTTTGAGTTGAAAACCTCTTCACAGTTGGGACACTGACACAGGACACTAATATTCCAGTGTTCAGTGATGCAGGTTTTACAGAAGCTGTGTCCACATGGTGTGGTGACTGGATCAGTGAACACATCCAGACAGATGGAGCACAGAAACTGTTCTTCAGTCAGCAGACAGCTGGCAGCAGAAATATCCACACTCTGAGGACAACAAGTGAGAAAAAAACAAATCTGAAAGGTTAAAATCAAGGGGAACAGGACTTTTTTTGAAGATACCTGAAGTGTCTTAAACTCTGACCAAAGAGTAACTGTGTCCTTTGTGGCAACTCATTCTGTCGGTTACATGTGATGTGAAAAGGTGGAAAAAGTGAAGTTTAACATTGAACGGATGTTGGGATTGTTGTACCTTAAAGAGAGACTATAAAGGGAGTGTTGTAGCCAACTGAGCCATAGATACAGGATGTTCTTGCATGTGTTGGATCGACCTCTGTTGGCTTGTTGTTTGACTGTTAGAGTATGCTATAGACTCCATCACAAGAAAACCACAAGGTGCCCTTAACAAGTCTACTAAATTCACCATTTCCCAAAAGAACATCACTAAACAGGTCGAACTCGAAAGGCAACAAAACCTCACCTGCAGAGCAGGAAGAGTTGGAGCAGTACTGGAAAAACACGACTGATTCTAACTAAAAGAAAAGTTAAGCTGACTTAACAAACAAAGGAGAGTCTCTGACAAACAAGTACAGCTGATAATATTTACGGTGTTTCAACAACATTAACACATTTCTATGACATCATATCCTTTATCTGGTAAAACAGATGTAAAACAGTCCAATTCTGGTTTGAACTGAACTTTGAGCAAATACTGAGTCAGTGCATTTTGGCTTTGTAGGGCCGTGTACTCTCCAGGGTTTGGCAGAGATTCTGCTGTTTTGTTGAGAAAAGTTGAATGTTTCTTTAGAGACAAACTGAGAGACTTGTCTCGACCGCAGCTCTGCTGACACTCAGACTAACTTTGACTTGAGGAAATGTGACGTTGCAGCTCTCCTCTGTCACTGTTGCTCCTCCCTATGTCTCTTTTGTTAGATTTACCCTTTGGAAACTTTATCTTCTTTTTTTTAAATAAAACTGGTTTATATTCCTTTGAATCTGATTAATTTTGGTAACAGCACCAAAACTCAGGTATATTATTGGAACTATTATCAAAAATGTTGTCATTGGTCGAGGTGGAACTAGTTTTAACTACTTCATTCACAGAAAGAATCACCAGCATCTATTGATAAAAGAGACGCTTTAATAAAACACAGACTGCAGTTTGTACATGATGACAGGTGTGTTTGTATTAAAGTGTCAAATGTGCTGCTAAGGACACGACGACCTCAGGTGACCTTTACACGTCTGTCAGCTCTTTTAGTTGTGTGGAGGGAAAAAGAGAAATTGGTAACTATTTTTTCTAAAAGGTCAAATAAAAGTAAACTTATTTCTCTAGTCAGATTATTTACTTTCAGTAAACCAACAGCAGTGTTTGAAAATGTGCTCTGTTGCACCTGTGACCACACCCAACAGTGATGTCACAGGGTCCTGGAGTACACCTGTACATCACTGCAGCAAGGTGAGAGGTTAAACCACTGAAGGTCGGCAAAAACAAGATATTCAGGTTAACTTACTCTAAACTTCTTCTTTGTTGGATATTTGTTGTACTTTCCAGCTGAGTTATAGAGATCCAGGAAACGCGACTCCAGTAAAACAGCATCCAACAAATTCTGACTAGCGAGCCTCCTACAGCTTCATTAACAAACTTACATTTTACATGAATCATTTCAAACGATCGTCCCAGAGTCTGAAAGGAAACACATAAATCAGCCTCCTGGATTAGAGACTGTAGCGCACTGCACAGGGATCTAGCTTTTGTCTGAGTCATGTTTCCCAAATCCCAAAATAATTTTCCCAAATAATTAAACTTGCAGCTCGTGCGATTTGAAAACTGTAATCTTTAAAACTGTGATTTTGATATAAAGAATATTTATTGTTCATCCCTCTGAATGTTTCCTGACTTTACAAGATGTTATTAAATATTAAACCTGACAAACCTCTGAAGCAGCGTTCAAAGACTCACGGGACACTAAAGTCTGAAGCTCGTCAGATTGAGCAGCTGGTCAGTCGGACCGTCCTGCTGTTAACAGACTGCAGGAACACAGATTCCCAGCAGATGCGTGTTCACACTCTGCACACAGTCAGTGACGTCGCAACCTGCTGGACAATGCGGCGACACGAACGTGGCATTAAAAAGAAAGTTTCCCTACGGACACTGTTATTGATAAGTCAAATATTCCAGCAGCCTGCTACAGAAACCTTGAGATGGAAGCGGTGTCGGAGTTATTCATACTGTGCACGTGTGTGATTTTATTATTGATGTCTCTGCAGGTCCTAAGTCTAAAATGACTTCAATTAAAGGCCTTAAATCAGATAAAATCCATGAAAATCTTTTCTTGGTGTTAAACTGGAAAGAAATCTTTTATTTTTCTTCTTGTGACAAAGGTTTTAAATTCTAAACGTCTTTAAAAAGACTTTTCAATATAAGTTTGTACTTTTTTATCCGCTGATTTCTGTCTTACAATCAAGCGAGTCTTACATTTATTATAATTTAAGTGTTAATGTTGCCTTTAAATGCTTCAATTTGATCTGGAACCAGTCAAATGAGCGTGTACCTTTTATTTTATTCTTTTTTACCGTTTTAAATAACCTACATTCTGCAACGTAGGTGGAGGTTTGCAATCTGTATTTTAACCCCAAAGACCAAGTTTCAGGGACTAAAGACACAATAACCGAATTTCACATAGCAGGACACGTTGCATTTTATCTCTTCTGTTAGGAGACTTTTCAGAGAGGAACACTGTGCACTGTAACAGCACCTCTCTTATGTGTTTCTAATAGTTTTTGGCAGATAAACATAGTACTTGTTAATTTGAGTTTAATTGGTTTTATCCTTCAGGGGAGCCGATGATTAAAAATAATTAAAACAGAGACGAGCCTTTCACTCTGCTGCAGAGACGGATCAGAAAACTGTAGATTTTTCTTTCGAATCAGCAGAAATCCTTCAGAGAAAAATGAAATATTAATTCCCATTAGTCAGTGGATGTAGCAGCTTCCTGTTTAGTCATTATCACACAAAATGTACACAATCATCTACACATCTTTTTACAGCATCAAGGTGTTTGTATAAAAGAAATCCAAACTCCGTAGAGCTCAAACTGACAGTCGCTCTGGTGTTGTAGGCATGAACACTAAACCCGGCGAAACATTTGGCTGCAGAAAACTTCTTCAGACAGTCACTTCGTCAGTCAGGGAGCAGAAATAAATAAAAATAAAAATCAGCCTGTTGTAAATGTGCACCATGTACACTCGCTTAAGGAATATTAAAAACAGTCTGTTTATCTCCTGTTTAAGGCGATTTGGAGTCTTCCTGTCCGAACGGTGAAAAAACAAACTGATCGCAGCCTCAGTGGAATCAAAGTAAATTCTACATTTGAGTGCAGATGGTGCAGAGCCTGGCGGCAGAAACATTCTCTCAAAGTGGTGATTAATAAACTTGAATTACTTAATTAAACCAATTTAAGAGCAGGAATTATCATTTCATTTGCCCTCTTCTTTCTCTTTTGTACATCTTTTTTTAGAACAGACAAAACCCAAATGTCTCGGTCCAAAATTAAAATCAAATCTGAGAGTGTTGAGGGGACAAACTGGATGAAACTGAGACCTTGCTGCTGGTCATCTATATTATAAAAATCCCCCCTCACACCTCCCAGGCTCTGTGAAACTGTGAGTCAGCGTTAAGTTGTTTTTTTGCAGCTGGATATAAAGCTTGTTTCTCTTCAGAGTTTTCGGACTCTACACGGCCTGCTGTTTGTCCTGAGCCGGGCTCGTGTCCTCGGCCTCCTCTCCTCTCTCCTGGTTCCAGTCTCGGAGGCCCTGAGGCAGACTCGTGTCCTCCTCGAAGCTCCCCGTCCCCTCCACAAAGTCCTCGTACGTCGACTTCTCGTCGAACGGCCGTGGGCCCAGCAGCTCCAACATGTCCGCCTTGTCCAGGACCTCCTTCTCCAGGAGACGCTTCCCCACCTGAAGAAGAAGTCAGGGATGAATACTTTACTGCTACTTCATCAGCAAAAGGGAGAGAAGGCGGAAATTTTATTTAACGTTTTTTTTTTAATCATTTCTCAGTCTTGGTAGAAAAGTCTTTTTATTACATGAATCTCTTAAGTTAAAAAGACAACGGTCATTGCTAAAAACTAAAATTAAATCCTTTAAAAATCAGCTGATATTACTGAATGTACATTTACATTCAGCTGACGCTTTTAACCAAAGCGACTTACAACTGCTATACATGTCAGAGGTCGCACGCCTCTGGAGCAACGAAGGGTTAAGTGTCTTGCTCAGGGACACAATGGTGGATGTCTCACAGTGGGAATCGAACCCGGGTCTCCCACACCAAAGGCAAGCATCTTATCTATGCTGCAACTAAATATCAAAAGAACAATCCTTCTCAAACCTCCGAAGCAACAAAATAGTCAGCACACTCAAATATAAGTACTTCAAAGTGTTAAAACTGATTAGAAGACGTTTATGAAACACAAGTTTTGTGTTTCTCCACCTTCCACAACATTTCACAAATCGTTCCATCGTCTCTTCTTCTCTGGAACTTTTCTTCTCCTTTGAGTAACAAGATGGTAAAAAACTGAACCAAACTTACGCAGAGGTCCAGGTAACACCCATGACGTATCTCACCATCTCCACCAGCTCCTTCTTGTCCTCAATGAGCTGCATGGTTCTCTGGTACGCTCGCTCCACCAGCTCTCGGACCTCCTCGTCAATCAGCTCGGCCGTGGCCTCGCTGTACGGCTTCTCCATGACCATCTCACCCTGCCGGGGCAGGTCGAACGACACCTGCCCCACCTTGTCACTCATCCCAAACTGCACCACCTGGAGGGGGGTGCAGGAAGGAGGCACCGGTGTCACAGCAGGAAAAACACTCTACTGCTAAATCCAGGATCAAAGCAGGTGTGTGTGTTGTGTACCTGAGCGTAGGCGGACTGTGTGACCTTCTTCAGGTCGTCCTGAGCTCCGGTGGTGATCTTGCCGAAGAAGACCTGCTCGGCCACGCGGCCTCCCAGCATCATGCACATCCTGTCGAACAGCTGCTCCCTGGTGTACAGGTACTGCTCTCTGGGCAGGTACTGGGCGTAACCCAGACCCTTCCCCCGCGGGATGATCGACACCTGGACACACAGCAGAGACATGTCACCACTCTGCTCTGCAGTGGGTACATTAGATCACTTTATCTGGGAAGGTGATTAATAGAACTGCATCTTGGTCAAAAGAGCAACAACAAAAGCAACCAAGCTGATAAAAAAAACACCTTTCAATCAATTCACAACTTTCCTGTTCAGTTTTACTTCTGATTAAATTGCACATTTTCAGAATTGGCTGTTCCGCTCACTGTCTTTAAGTTATAATAATGTTTCCCAGGAGAAACCTGCTACGTCCTCACTCTAGATCCTAGAACAGAAAACTCTCTGTTTTTGAAAAAAAGAAATTAAAGACCTTTCTTTTTCATCTTGCTCTTAATTCCAGGTAGTCCACCTTTGTCAGCGTCTTTGAAATTTCCTGTTGCGTCCATTGTTTTTAACATTTTATTTTGTTTATTGTTGTCCATTTTCATTTTCAATCCTGAAGTTGTAAAGTTATTGCATGTACAGTGCTATACAAATAAAACTTTCTTGTTTTTTCTTTAAAGCATTTTCAATTATTTGTAATTTATTTTTTTATCACTTATTAATTTTCTATTTATACTTTTATTAATTCATTTTAATAATTGTATTTTGAGTGTTTTTATGAACATCTTTTTTTATTGGGATAATATTTAATACAGACTAATTTAAGTTTTATTCTGACTCACATCAAGTTTAAAAAATTTTCAGAGATGTACCAAACAGAGTATAAACGTGTGCATCAGCAGTAACAGAAAAAAAAAAAAAAACCTTCAGCAGTGGGTCTGCGTGCTGCAGGAACCAGCCCACGATGGCGTGACCGGCCTCGTGATACGCTACGGTCTTTTTCTCTGTGGGCTGCAGGACCTGAGTCTTCTTCTCCAGACCTGAAAACAAACACACAGACAGACAGTATCAGTTATGTTATTATTCTACATCATGAAAGGTTTTAAAATAGGGAACATAATCATGACGCAGAGTGAGAACAACAAAAACAGGGAATGAATAAAAACACCGACCTCCGATGACCCGGTCGATGGCCTGTTCGAAGTGTTTGCCGTTGACGGACGGGTTCAGGTGTCTGGCTGCGATCAGAGCTGCCTCGTTGCAGACGTTAGCGATGTCGGCTCCTGATTCATTCACAGCGGAAAATACAGCCGTCAAACATCTGAAAATTCTGACACTGAACACATTAGTTATACTTATTAATATCAACATTGTTTTTCTGCAAGCAGCTCTAAAATGCTGGTTTGAGCCATAAGAAAAAAAACTTTAGATTTTTAAGGGTTTCCAACTATTTCTAAAAAAGGTATTTATTTTACTTTTCTCTGGTGTTGCGTGGAGCAAGAAACTGACTGACTACACTATCATATTTTAAATTCCCCTACGTGTCTCTAACAGTCTTAACGAAAGCACTACATTGTGATGTAGCTGTCACATACCTGTGAATCCCGGGGTGGCGGCGGCCATCTTCCTGGCGAGAATGTCTTTGTCCAAGCTGGGGTCAATTTTGATTGGTCGCAGGTGGACCTTAAAGATGGACGCCCTGCCCTTGATGTCTGGGGGACCTGAGTGGAGACGAGAGAATCAGTTACGTGATGTGGGAGGAAGCAGGCTGATGGAGAGGATCCATAAATCTTTGGATCTTTGTTGAATCGTTGTTCTACAACTCTGCGTCTGCTGAGATTAAACAACTGTTGATATACAGACTAAACCAAGCCTGTGCACATGTAGAATAACAGAATATGAATATAGTTAAAATTGTGTTATATATAATGTATCTATGAAGCGGATAGCTTTGCGTGCTCAGTTGAGATCTTGTCAGTCTGGAAGAGGAAAAGCTGATTTATTCAATGTGTCGTCTCTGTGGTGCAGAACACACGTTAAATTTTGTTTTCTACGGTCTTTTACTGGGAACGTTGCATTACTTTGTTTAGTAAAACAGAACCCATTCTTCACTCTGCTCCCATCAGGGCCTGGAAACAGGCTCGCTATAGCAGGAGTTTTACCCCCTCTGCCATGGCACTACTCAACAAACCTACTCGCTAAGTAAGAAAGTATCTTTGATTTGTGTATAAATGTGCCGTTTGATATGTTGTTAGGCGAGTTCATCTTGTTTAAATGTGACGCTATGTATGGAGAAATGGTGGAAACAAATTTCCTGAAAAAGACAATAAAGAATCTAAACTAATTTAATAAAAAAAATTCTCTGATTCATTGTTTTGTTCTCAGTAACGCCGCTCACTCGCTTTATTCACTCTCTGCATGGGGCCAACTTTGAATCGTACGTTTACAAACTGCAACCAACCAATTCTCTAACTCAAGTCTAACTCATTTAATCCAATGACCTACTTTATTCAAATTGAGGATTTTTAGGGTGATGACGAGTGAAAACCTCACGAGACGCTTCAAATGTAAAAAAAAAAACAACAACCAAAAAAAAGACATTCGGTACAGCCCTAATGAATCTTTATCAGGATACATTTTACTCGTGCAGAGGTTATTTTCTTTCTCGACTGATGTAGAGCTGAAACAACAAAATTATTTGGCTATTTTGATAACCTTAAGGTCATTTTTCACAGTAAAAGTACAAAACATCTGATGCTTCCAGCCTCTCAGTTAGAAGGATTGCTGCTTTTCTTTGCTCTACAGTAGACAGAATATCACATGTCAGCGGGGGCTCCAGGAAATAGCTCGCTCGCTCTCTCTCTCATATATATATATATATATCACTGCTCAGTGTTGAACTCTACCTATGTAGATCTGCCTGTCAAAGCGACCCGGTCTCATCAGGGCAGGATCCAGGATGTCGGGTCTGTTGGTTCCAGCCAGGACCACCACATTAGTAGCCGTGTTAAAACCTGCAAAACAAACAAAAGACGGGCGGTTAAGACCTAAAACCTCACAAACCTGAAGAATCACACATTTAGTTCATGTCCAGCCTACCGTCCATCTCCACCAGCAGCTGGTTCAGAGTGTTCTCCTGTTCACTCTGACCTCCAAAGTTCCCTCCTCCCCTCTTCCTCCCCACCGCATCGATCTCATCGATGAAGAGGATGCAGGGGGCGTTCTTCTTCGCCATGGAGAACATGTCCCTCACCTGCAGAGGAGAAAACTCAATGTAGGAAAATGTCTCCTGAACTATCCACCAAAAGGTTATCTCAGAGAGTTTTTCACGAGGCAGGGAGGACGTTCCCCACCCTCCTCTGGTCCCACAGATATCTGATCTGGTTTCCTTCACTCACCCTGGCAGGACCGACGCCCACAAACATCTCCAGGAACTCGGAGCCATTTACAGTGATGAAAGGGACGTTGGCCTCTCCGGCTGTGGCTTTAGCCAGCAGAGTCTTCCCCGTCCCAGGAGGTCCGGACAGCATAGCACCCTGGGATACCACATGACAAGACATTTAACTCATCAATAAACTGTAGACAGTGAGCCTGATTTAAAAATGATCGTCAGTGATGTAAAGGCAAACTGATGGGGCATTTTGGGGGTTTATACAATCTCAACTTTTGAGATTTAAAATAAAATAAGGAGTGAATGAGTTAACAATCCCAAACTCTTCCTGGCTGCTTAAAATATAACTAAATTAAAAATACACGTTTTTAGATTCAGATATGTAAAAAGTTGACTCATCGACTGAGTTACTGGTGGAAGTTGCGGCAATGACATCCCATGTGCCAGACTCGGAAACTTTTGTTAGTTTAAACCTAAAATGCTTACCACACTCTGAAAAAACAAAAAAACAAATCACACATCATTCTGCTGCTTTTGGGTGTGTTGTCGATTATTTTGGTGACGTTTGATCCAAAACTGAGCAAAAACAAAAATGTTGTGCAAACTGTACAAGTTACAGCACGATACAGAATATCACTGCAGACTCACCATTGAACGGATGTAAAAACCCTTTGAAACACTTGATATCGGCCATCTAGAGAATGTCTGTGTTGATTTTGGTAGCGTTTGAACAAAGACTTGTGGAGATATGGATGTTAAATGATTTAGCACACTCTGACTTCACTGTTTTAGACTGAATATACAATCATCTACAGCAGCTTCAAGGTGAATATTTAGTAAAATCCCTGCTAGTGTAGTGCCCTGTTAGTCTGTGCTTGTATTTTTTACCTTGGGGATCTTGGCTCCGAGGTCCAGGTACTGTTGTGGGTTCTTCAGGAAGTTGACGAACTCCAGGATCTCCAGCTTGGCCTCCTCACAGCCGGCCACGTCCTTGAACTTCACTTCAATGTTGTCCTTCATCATCTTCGCCGTAGACTCGCTCATACTGAAGGGCCCGCCCCTCCCGCCACCGGGGCCTCCTCCCATTGGTCCTCGCCGCAGGGTAAAGAGCAGGAAGCCAATCAGCAGCATGGTCGGTACCATGCTGATCAGAAAAGAGCTGGGACAAGAGAGGGGGGCCGTTATCATCTGGGACGGAGGAAACGCCCTGCTGGCGTTCTCCGACTGTCAAAAAGTAGAAATATTCCTCTTTTTTTGGTTTCACTGGCAACATTAATATTTGTGTTAAACCCACCCGTCGCTCTCGGTGCTGTAGACGACAGCTGGTCGGTGTGACGCCTCCAAGCCGAGCTCCATGTGCGCCGCCTCCAGGTTCCTCTCAAACGTGTCGACGCTGCCGATGTTGAACCAAACGTAGCTCTGCAGTTCGCATAAAATTTCATGATGTGACTTTGAGCCAGTCGAAAACCTTCATGCTATTTTTATTGCTTTCCTTTGATTGGAGTAATTGCCGTTTTTGTGGTAATTATTTACAGACCAAAATAAATTCCAATTTCAATACAGACAAATATCCAGAAGGTTACATTCATTTCAGCTGACAATTCAAATACATGAAGAGCAGACAATAGAATTTAGTTTGGCAAGATGAGTATTTGTTGACCTTGATTTCATACAAGATGTTTTTCTGGTCCCATTTTCACAGCTTGATTTTAACGTTACACACAGGATGTTTGGAAAAATGCAGCAAACATTATTACAAATATACTAAATTTCATTACAAGTTAGCAGAAAATTCATTTCTGTGTCGTGTTTCAGTTTCGTCTCACCGCATCAGCGTCGGCTCCCGGCGCCAGGATGACTCTGACATACTGTTTGTTGACGACCTCTAAACGTTCCACCTACGCAGTAAAAAAAAAAAAGAAGAGAGAAATGTTTTTTTAAACACATTTTTATTTTGTTTTAAATTAAAAACAATGTATTTGTGCCTGAAGCTGAAGATTTTAAGTAAATGCAGGACCAAAAGCAGCAGGGCTCCAGCCTCCTGTTTTACAAGGTGTTCAGGTCTACAGCGGATGATGCATCTTTAAACTCAGCCACATTCATTTCACTTCATCTCTATGGATGTTCAGAACTGATTTTCAGCCGATGCCAGTTTGCGAGTGCTCCTCACCATTCCTCTGCCCACGTAGCGGTGGACGAAGTCCTTCCAGCTGATCTCTTTGCCGTTGTCTCTGAAGTAGAAGTAGAGCAGAGCCGAACTGAGTCCGGCCACGGTGACCGCCAAGTAACGGAAATCCTTCTCATCCCAGGGGAAGTCACCCTGAGGGGCAGCAGACACACAGCCGAGCGTTACGTCTGAACGGGCTGACCAACAGGTGATGAGGAACACAGGACATTCACCGGACCGAGCTCTGCAAGCACTGCTAGCATTTTTGCTTAAAAGATTACTTTTACAACTAATCAATTTGGATTTATTGACTAATTGTTGCAGCTTTAATAATATTTCTTCTGATATCCAGCTGCTAGATCGCATTTTCAGAGCCACCTACTGCTGTTATGAAAAAGGTTTCACTTTACATATTTCTCTTTTCTCTGACTGGATGAATTTAAAATAAAGCCAACAAACATTTTTTCCCACAAGCTGCCTTGAGATAATATTTGACATAATTTCTATTCAATACTTTTTTTCAGGTCAAAATAAGTCCAACAATTTTTTTTGTCAATTTCCCCCCAGGACTGACCATAAAGAGACTGGCTGTGTAAAGTTAAAACAGCAACTCTAAAGAAGCCCAACTTCTATTTTTAGTGTTTCCTTCTCCTCCACAAAAATCTTTAATCATCATATGATAAAATACCTGTGCAGGCATTAGAATCCATGCTGACATTTACATTTCTTCACTTTACCTTTTGCATTCGGCTCCACCAGTCTTTTCCTCCGCCACTTCCTCCTCTCTTCCCTCCACCTGGTCTACCTGCTCCTCCTCCTTTTCCATCTGAAACTCAGACACGATCACACATCTGTCAGACAAACCAGCGTTTCCTCTCTGGTTTCCAACCCAGCTCTGCTTTCAGTGAAATTATAACTTATCAGGAAAATGTTTCTGCAACTGATTTTGCGGTTTCATGACTGAATATAAATCCTGCTTTTCTTGCCTGATAAAAATCTCTTAGGTCAAAACGTTGCATCAATAAAAACCTTTGAGGGTTCACAAATTCTCTTTGTTTGCTGCTTTTTTTGAACTGCACCTGAATCCACCTTTTGTTCTTCAGACACACAGCGGCTCTCACCTTTGGGTTCAGTGGAGTACAGTCGTCGCTGAGCCGCCTGGAACCTGCGACAGGACAGGAAGTCAGCTGGAGTCCGACCGACGTTCTGGAAAAGACCACAGAGACACTGTTAGCATGCTGAATACACACCACAAACACCGACCTGAGAGGGTCTGCTGAACAGCTCATGACTCTGGTTTATATGACCAACACCTAGAACAGGTAAACAACTGCACGCTGAAGGTCACACTTATTTAAAACACCTGACCAGTTAATTCTGAACTGCATTAGACTCTATCAGCAGTGGAAATAATTAAGATGTGGGGGACATGGTCAAAAGTAGCTCAGAATGATCTTGATATGTGGACAATCTCGTTCACACTCTTTTGGTCTGGGTCCGTTTTTCCCTGTTTAAATCTTAATGCTACAGCATGTTTTTAGAACAAGTTAACCTCATCCCCATCAAGCACCTTTGGGATGAACGATAAAACAATAAAAGACACATCATCACCTGGGTAACATGGGGAAATATTGACGCACTAACGCTTCACAAAATGATGAGCAGTTACTGAGGAACGATTCAGGAACGACCTGATCTAAGTACTTAGTGAATAACTCTGAATTGAGGACTATACTGTGAATAATGATGATTTACTCGAGGACTGAGAGGCATTACTATAGTAATTAAATAAATTACTTAATACATGCTGTGACTCTGAATCAGCCACTGAGCGGAATAAAACTATTAACGACTAACAACCTGATTACTTAGTTACTTCTCATAATAATTTAGTAATATGGGATTACTTAGATACTCCATCGACACATCTGCCTGTATTCACATGTACCCCATCTCTCGCTTCACACTTGTTCTCTCTCTCTCTCACCTGTGTATCACACTTCTTGATGGTTTTTAAAAGTGCCCGGTTTTAGGTGGAGCTGCAGCCCCCTCGCCTGTAACATCAAGTCCCCTGCTAACATTACTGTGCAACTTCCTGTCCCCACACAGAACAAGTCAATATGATGTAATCGATGTAATTGGCTTGATCGGATTAATGCCGAATTGAAAAATAGATTAGAATCAGGCAGATTGGGTCTTAAATTGAGTTTCATTGCTAATGATATCTCGTTTTTAAACAGACGCGCCTTAAAGTGAATGGTTTTGCAACGGGATTCGGCACGCAGTCGCTAGCGAGATATACGTTCCTCTAGACAAAGAATGGTTAGTTTAAATCTAGGTTTCCAACCCACGTGGAGAACAAATATGGGTCATTAAACCCCCTGATAAACGTGTACACTTCTTGTACAACAGTTATCCGGAAAACCTCCACCTTCTCTTACCGGGGCAGCGGAGCTTCGGTATCGGGCTGTGAAAAGCCGTCCTACCGTCACCGCGGAGAGCCGCGCTCGGGCTCCGGCAGCCCGGTAGAGAGGCAGGGTGGCCGCCGAGAGAAGCCTCAGCACCTGAGACATCCTTCCCGTACCGCTTGCCCAGTCTTTCAGTCCAAAAACACAACGTTTTCCCTTCAATTTCCTCCCCTGAACTTCATCGTGTCGCTTTTACAAATGTTATTGAGCTGCGGCGTGAAATGTCAACGGCAGGGTGATGTAAAGGTCCGAAAGGCTTTCTCTTACAGAACCTGCCGGAAATTATTGTAAAAGAAAAGATATCATATTTATTCTAAATGTCCCCTAGATCTGATCGGGACTCTTTATTATAAAACAAAATACATTACTAATTTAGTGCAGGTAGTCGTATGTAATTCATTTTAAGATTGCTTTATTGCATTCCGGCATGTAAAGAGCCAACACTGGGTCCTCATAGCACATCAGCTCTGTGATTGGCTGAGACAGAAAGGCACTCAGTTATTCAACTGCTCGTGTTACCAAAACACGCGGTGACATTTCTTATATAACGTGTCAACATCTTAGTGTCAAAGACATCATTAAAAGTCATGTTTATGAGCTGTATACTTTCCGTTGCTGAAGAGGCCTACTCTTTATACTGATATACAGTCTGAATGAGAAGTGAATAAATAAGATGTTTGCATGCTTATCCTAAATTAAGAGTTTCCCCCCAAAATAATGCGGTTTGCAGTGGAAGTAAAATGAAACATCAAATAACAAGATATAAATGTTAAATATGCATTTAATAAGTAACTTAAAGGGATAAAACCGACCTTTAATGTTTCTATGCACCGCTGCTGTTACATTAATTACAGTATGTTGATTAAAATGTCAGCATCACACCAATCGCAATAAAATATTTAAAACTCAGCACAGGTAACATTGAAACTGGACAAAACACAAACAAGCACATGAACTGGAGAAGTCCAAGTTGTAGAAAACAGAGACCCTCTCCATCCCTGGTTACACTGCGTTGAAGCTGCAGCCGGTCGTCCTCTGAGCGCTCAGCTTCCTCTGTAGGTGCTGTAGGAGAACCGACTCATCAGCAGAGGGAGGTGGAACCTCTGCTCCGGGTCACTGATGGTAAACACAACCTGGAAACACAAACACACACGGAAACAAGTCAGCAACACAAATACAAACTGATAAGTTTATTACAAATCAAACTATTGCGTTGATAAATAATTAGGTTGCTGCAGACTCTCAGCTTTCCATGGAGTTATTTATCATGATGTTGTGATGATACCTACTGACATATTATTTTATGATACACATTACTGTTGTCAAAACTGACGCAAGATTTCTAACTAAAACGTGCTCAAGCATCAATCCTGAATCTGCGTTGTGTGACTTGTGGTCACTGGTCACATTGAAAGTGTTTTCATAAGCAGCTGCTGAGCCAGCAGGACACTTCAACAGGATGAAGCTTCTGACGTCTGCTGAAAACTACAACGCCCATCTGTTTTAAGAAATCCAGTGTCTTTCAATTTCTAAGACGCTTATAAAGATTTCCATCTCCGTCTATTCATTTTTTAAAACCTAAACAAACCAGCCTGGTTAAACCAGGAATGATTTTTTAAGTAACATGCAACTGACACTTATTCATTATCTGGTGACTATTAGTTGTATAATTGCCAGTGGCAGCATTAAAGGTGCAGAATGACGTCCTAATTAATCATTAACAAACATTTGAGTACTAAAAAAAGAGTTGTTGTTCTTAAACTGCAGTAAGATGCAAGAATTCTAAGATGATCCTTTTAAGGGTTAGGACTACAAGTAAAGCTTTAAAAGTGTTGTTAGACTGCAAACCCATTACAAACATGTTGTGCATGCACAGTAAGTGATATCCTGATCCAGGATATAGATGATACAGCATCCTAAACACTGAAGCTCACCTCGACATATGGGTAAAAGGAGGTCTGACCCAGATTCTCCCAGTATGAACCCGTCTCAAAGCGCAGCTTGTACATGCCGGGGACGAAAGCTCCTCGGGTGATGAGTCCTGGGCATCGGCCATCTTCATTTGTTGTCCTAAAAATTTGTTGTAAAGGTTCAACTATTAAAGGATGATTTCAATATTTGTAAACACATTTGTTTGCATATTTTGATGTGGAAATGACTTGTAGGTATAAAAGGTTCAATATCATGGAGAGGATCCCTACAAGGGACTCCTGGTGACACCCTTTGTTTTTAACAGGAAACTGAAGTCTCGCTCAAGGACAATTCTCAGTCTGAAATCTCGTACGAGGCGAGTTGTTGCAGGAAGGTGGAAACGAGGGAGGAGAGTTTTTTGTGTACACAGAGTAGCTGCAAGCAACACCTTAATTCTAAACATTTCTCCAACAAAGTCCATTTCAACCCCAAAATATGTGAAAATATGTCCCAGGTTTAAAATACCGAAATGACCTTTTAACTTCAAACCCTCAGAGAAAAGCTCTCTGCTGCCTGCCTGCAGTGTTTTCATCTTCTTGGTCTTCTCTCACAAAGAATCCGTTGAGGCTGGTCACACATTTTTTATAATACAATTCAATATCTTCTCCTTGGGTTTTGTCACAGTTGTCCCTGTGGTGGCTAGAATAATTAATATGACTTCAACCTTGACACAATCATCCTCATCATGGCTACCTGTGGTCCTTTTTGTGCCCCTGACCTGTGGACCTTTAATCAGAAAGCATCTAGCAGGACATATGCTTTCATTTGGAAGCTAACTTGATTTGTAGTTTTGTGCAAATGGAAATCAAACATCGTTGAGCATTCGTAGGTTTAAATGTCAGGTTCTGATGTTAACCGTTACCTATGCAAACGTTTCAGCAGCAAAGTGATGCGTTTTGTCCGCAGGTTCAAACCCTACCCGACGCTCAGCATGTTCCAGATCATCAGCTTGGAGTCGAGTCGGTGCAGGCTGAGGGCCATCCTGGCTGCCGGGACGCCGTCTCCAGTGTTCAGCACGTGAGTGGTCAGAGGGCAGCACTCCATGATCTGCTGGACAGGTGTGGACAGGTCAGCTTTACCTGCAGGACCTTCAGTTACATTTACAGTCTTAACTGGCTTCATTATAAAACAGTAGGAACAATTAAATAAAAACCACGATGAATCTCACTCACCATGGCAACTGTGAAACAAGTGACAGCAACTCAGTAATAACTTTGATTACTGTATATTCTCTTAACTTTTTAATCTAAAGCATTATTAATTAATGATCCTTAAAGTCCCCTTGTTTAAAAAAAAAAAGTAATTCTCTACAACATTAAACATTCATGAAAGGCAGAGTTTCACAGCAAAAAGATCTCAGATAACCTTCCTCATCAGGACTGTGTGGGTGTGGTTTCATAAAATCTGCATGGTCATCACATTTTGATTCAGACTTTCCTAAATCCTGATTGGTGCACAGAAGTATGCGACATCACTTGAGTCCTGCTCACGTTAAACCAGTGAGAAGAACTCAGAGAAAAAAGAAACACAGAAATCTCTTTGTTTGGCTGATAATTGTTTGTTTATGTAGGAAACCACTGAAAAGCTGAAAGAGGAAATATGTTTTCAGGTCCTTTGAAGACCTTTAATGGAAACCAACAGAGGAACAAGCTTATGTTAACCGGCATTGTATAAAAATAGGAACAACTCTTTGTGATTAGTGTAGCAGACCTAAAATTTTTAGTTATGCATTGTAATAAATTTATGAGAATTGATACCCAATTATGAATTAAAATTCATAAAATCAAATTTCCTCGTAAAGGGCACCACCGGAGTTGTTATAATCCTAGAGTCTCCGGCCTCTAGGTAGTTTGAATAATTATACAATTATTACTAGTGATCAGTTAGTTAATAATCGCTCAATTATCTTAAATCAGTCAGTCAGTCTCATATCTAAAGGGTCAATTCTCTTGGCAGGAACTATAAATAGGTAACACACACAGCTCTTGGTTATATTACAGTGAATTTATTCTCTAACTAAGGTGATAAAAAGATGGTTGGATACAGGGAACATAAACATTTGCTGAACAATGAGCCTGGAGGTTATAGGTCATAGAAGAGCTAATGAAAGTAAACTAATGCTTTAAGCTTTAAAATGGACATCTGATCACAGAACGTGTGTTAAGTCTTACTGCTTGTCGACAGCCTGCTTTTGGCCTGTTGGCCACTCTAGCTGCCGATCCTGGCTTTTTGCTAGGGATTCTCCAGGGTTCTCCGTGTCTGATTGAAAACGCCTCCTCCTTCTGGCAATTCAGCTGTTTTCAGGTTTCCTTCGTTGTAGCTGGCGAGACCACGTGGCTTGGTCTGACCTCGACGAAAAAGGCTTAAAATGGAACTTGGTCGTTCCTGAATTAGTCCAGTGTAACTTAACGGACTGATAACTTTAACAAACAAAAGAAATAAAGAAAATAAAACAAACTGAAGGCAGATCGATGTCTCGGCACTTCAGGTGTGTAGCTTCAGGCGAACAAAAGGCTTGTTTGTTTCGCTGGCCGAGTCTGGGCGTGTGGCCTGGCGAGGCACGCTACGCGCGTGCCGAAGCATCCAGAGGGCAGAGGGGAAGAGCGAGAAGAGGGAAGAGACTAAGAGTCTGGCGAGCAGGTCGCGTGTCGCTCTTTTGTTGTCTGGGCCGTGGTTCCCCAGGGGGCGTCTCAGGTTTCCCCAGGAACTGCCTTTCTAAACTTAATGTTTAAAGAAAAGAAATCTATTTGCACGTATTATAATCAAATATTTTCCACAATCGAACCTCAATGGTTGAACGGTTGTACTGTTCTAAGCATTTGGTAAATTGTCACATTATTGGTCAGTATTTTTTACACATTTAACGGCATTTCCGACGAGGGCATGTAATACTTATTTCGTCCACTTGGGGGAGCTCAGGTTACATGAGGAAAGCTTGGATTAAATCAAAGATCGTCTCTCCTTAGGAACCGGGGAATTTGTTGATTCATCCTTAAATTCAAGCTGGCGATTAAGAGTATAGTAAAACATTTCTTTGTCATCATTTCTAAAGGAATTTTGTAGGAAAGTATTATGAACAAGCATTGATTACATTAGATGAAGGAGTGTCTTGCTGAAAATAAAAACACTGCACAAGTAACTTCTTTTCAGCACTAATATCAACAACAGATAGCAACAACAGTTAACATAACTGCTCAAATAGAGGCAAACGTATTCAGGCAACTAAAGATTTAATTAACTCAATTAAATGCTTTGAGTCTTTGGAGACTGCAGTCC